GCTGTACCAGGCCACAGAGGAAGACAATGCAGCCAGTCCTGATGAGACCTGATAAGCTAGGTCAGATGGAAGGGGATGAGGACCTCCCCTATCAGTGGACTTGGGGAGGGATATGGGAAGAGAAGAGGGAGAGAGGGTAGGATTGGGAGGGGATAAGGAAGGGGGCTACAGCTGGGATACAGAATGAATAAACTGTAATAATAAAAAATATAATAAAAAATAAAGATGATAAATGAAAGGTTAGTGAGAGTAAATGACATCGGAAAAACACTAAAATAGTAGGAATTATACCTACTTATAAGTGAAAATTGCAAACCAAAACAAAACAAAGAAAAAAAAATGATTCCATTTGGTCGTAGTGGTAGATTGTAGACTTCAGAAGGAAACTTAGGAGCCACGGAGGCAAATCAGGAAGCTATTCAATCTGAGGAATAAAGAGAAGAAGTGCAAAACGATGGAACATACGTGAAAATATCAAGTAGGCTAACGTATATAATTGGAATCCCAGAGGGAAAGTTGATAGGACAAACAGACAAACAAACGATATTTGATGAAATAATTGGCCAAATGCCCTGAACTTTTTGAAAAAGATAAATGTACAGCAGAACCTAATAACTCAGCTGAGTGTGACACAATAAAAACATAATGAACAATGAAAAAGAAGGAAAACTGAAAAAGGTATAGGAAACAGGAAAAAAACTGACAATCCAGAGGTATGCATCTAAACCAGGCGTGGTGTCATAGGCTCGTAACCTCAGTTACCCAAGAGGCTGAAGCAAGAAACCAGACTCTTTTAAGAGAGAGTGCCAGGCCAGCTTGGACAATTTAGTGAGAGTCTGTCTCAAAGTGTGAAAAGAAGCCTGTGGTTAGAGCCCAGCAGCTAAGTGCTTGCCGAGGACTCATGGGACCCTAAATTCAGTTCCAGAGACTACTAAAAAGAAAGAGAAAAAAAAATCAATATCCAGAATAAATATTCCTCATGAAGGAGAACAAACTAAAGATATCTTTGGGCAAATAAAATGTAAGGGTTTTGGCTCTCAAGAAATTCCGAAGGAAGAGAATGAGGAATACTGATAATGCAAACAATTTTAAAAGATTTAAAAAAATTAAAAGAAAATCAATTGTATACCCATCCCTAGTGTGGTTATGACATGTACACATATGAAGTATATCTATAGTAGTATACACAGATGAGGCCTGAAGGAAGAACACAGGCACGGTTTGGCTACATGCCTCACACATGACGTGACATGCAGCAGCACTTCCCCTGAAGGAGCACAGGAGGTAAAGAATGCATGTTATCAGCCCCAGGGAAACCATGATTCCTCGGTGTGAACCTCCAAGCACGTGTCAAGTTCAGCTGCTTTAAAATCATTGTTCGTCATATACAATGATGTAAGTGAAGGAAAGTAACTCTGATATATAAAAATAATTTGGTCAAGGTGAGCATCTTTAATGGTCTGTGGTGGAAGAAAGATAAAATATGGCATTTTTACATTCCGACTGTCGTTCTACTTCTGATAAGCTAAGCAGGTGTTAAACTCCCGTTCTGCTTTGCTTTGTGATGTTAACTCTCCCTGTCCCTTAAGAGTCTGAAGAAAACAGGTTATTTGATTCTTTCATGTGCCATTTACTTTTCATTTAACACTTTGGAGGATTCTTTAGTTAGTCCATGTAAATTCTTAAACCAAGGACACAAAAGACCAAAGAGAATTGTTAAATATTCATTTTTTGGTGGGATGTATTAAATATTTGAGTGGCTATTGAACATCTTAAGATTATCCTAAATATTAGCAATTGTAATCTGTAGCATAAAATTCCAAGAAATATACCTTGCTGTGTCATCTTTTTGTGTTTGGACCCAACTTACACAAATTTGAAAAGGGCTCTGATGAATCAGGGTGCTTTAGAGAAACAGAACTAATAGAATCTATCTATCTATCTATCTATCTATCTATCTATCTATCTATCTATCTATCTCCTTGTATTTATTAATATGTATATGATTTATTAGAGTGGTTCACAGGCGGTGGTCTGGGTAGTTTCATAATGACTGTCACCCAGTGGAAAAGGAAAATAATCTGGTACTTGTTTCACCATGAGACCGGATGTCTCAGCTGGTCTCAGTCTGTGTTGGAATCTTGAAGATGTACGCCCTAATACCAGCTAGGGAATGCCTTAGCAGCAGGATGGATGAACTTCCAGTGAAAGTGAGGGCAAGCAGACCAAAAGCAAAGACACTTCTTCTTCTATGTTCTTTTATGTAGGCTGAGTGGCCCCGATTTCAGGTAGGTCTTCTGACCTACTATCATCTGGATTTACAATGGTTCTTCCCACCTTACGTGGCCCTATCAAGAAACCCCTTCATAGGCATGTTTAGCTGCTTAGGTTCTAGTTGCTCCTAGATCCAGTCAAGTTGACAGCCAAGATATGCCATCACAGGCTCTATTCTCCTCAAACTGAATACCTATAAGTTGGTGGCACAGGCACATGCTGACTGGTGTTCTTGTATGACACAGGCAGTTTGTTGCTTTACTAGCAATACTAAATGATACTGTGGGGTATTCGTAAACAGTCAAAAAAGGTCACCGGTGATTTTGTCGTTGTTGGCTCTGCTTGTTAAAATGGCAACTTGCACATGCATCCAATTCTATTTTAACTAGAACTAGCACTTGAAATGTGATCACCTTAATGCTTTGTTCTTGGCACAATCTGCCTTCTGACGGACAGCTTGTCCTCAAAGACTCTATTTATGGATCTGATTTTGATCAGGACGCAGCACCATGGAGGAACTACTACAAGAGAATGTTCATAGTATCTCCATCTGAAAATGAAAATGTAATTTGGGAAGGAAAGGAAGCCTTAGGGCAGTACTCCTGGGTGTAAAATGGTTTAACTCATGATTCAAAACGGACACAATGGCCATCATTTGAACAGAGGACTCTTAAAAATGTGTTAAGGGTCATGATGTAGGGTGACTGGTACAGTGCTTCTGTGACATTCATGAGACCCGGAGTTTGATTCCCAGCGTGGCATAAACCAGTGGACGTGCATGCCTCTAGTCTAGTACCAGATAGGAAAATACAGAAGTTCAAGTTCAGCATCAGCTACACAGCAACTTAGAGGGCAGATTGGGTAACACAAAACATTGCCAGTGAATAAACAGACAGATAAATGAATGAATGAATGAATAAATAAATAAATAAATGAATTGCAAGTGAATTGTCTAAATGAAAAACAGTGCCATTCTCAATGACACGAATAACTGTAAGGAAAAGTCAAAACTCAAGGGTAGTGAGGCTACAGAGAAAATGATAAAAGGAAAAAGTCCACGGCCCTTTGGTTCTATCCTATTTAATAACAAAACAGTGTTAACGACAAAGCAGCAGCTACACAATTTAGTTGGGATAAATGGCCGTTCTAACAAATGGTGGCCTTGGTTAGGAAATGACATAGAGAAACCTGACCATTCAAGGTCTTCTCGGCTGTCTAAGCAAGTTGAACTTTGTCTTACTCATAATGGAAGGAACCAAAGGCAGCACTTGTGTGAAAGTTGGCTGATCGGGGTAGGTTTTTTTTCAGACTGTAAGACTGAGAGCAGAATAGAAGAAGAAAAAAAAAACTTTGGATGGTGGAAGAAATGACTGCCATAAAATCAGATAGCATCTGTGTCAGGTAAACATACCAGAGGGGGCCAACCACTCTGAGATATAAACCAAATACTGCCACAATGAAAAAAAAAAAAAACAAAAAAAAAAAACCAGTCATCTTTCAGGAAGGGTGAATTATTTATCATGTACACTCAAGGGCTACATGTTTAGGTTTTTATATACTTTCATTAAAAACACTGTGTCCTTACCTAAGAATGTAATGACTAATGCTCAGTGCTCCTTGGAATGTCATTCCAAATCCTTTTTAGAATATCTGCAAATGATAAAAAAAAAATTCAATGTTTCCTTACTGCTTATAAAATGTTAGAAAAGAAAAAAACTTGTTTTTCAAAAGAGCAGCCAGAAAATTAACATCGTATATAATCACAATTTTCTTTCAGCACCTTCTAATACTAATAATACTAAGTAATGAATGGTGGGTAGAAAGGGAACAGATTGGAGTCGCCCTGTCCATTTGAAAATAATTCATTGTTCTTAGCCTATTTGGTAGAGTGTCATTTTAAATCAGTGTCAGCCTGGAGGAGGTTTTATTGTTTCAAACCACAGGCTTTATATTACCTTTAAAAAAAAGTCAACAACTCTTAGCCGCAAGTTGGATGCTTCTGGCAGCCGTACAAATCTAGCACCACCCAGGGAGGGAGCCTGTTTGCCTCTGCTCATTCCTGCCAGGGTGGAGGAATGCTGGACACCCAGAGACAAGGGAGGCTGCAGCTCGCCGCACCCCAATCCCACACTTCGGGCTTCATCCTTTTGCAACACACAGGTAAGTGGTAGGTACTCCAGAGTGGTGAATGAGGAGAGCCTGCATAGCAAGCAAGCGCTGAGGGTCAAGGGCTATGCTCTGAAGGGGCCCAAAAGGTCTCCAGGACAGCTTCAAGTTAGCTAGTAAGGTTCTTAATGTTAGTCAATAAATTCCTGAAAGTGTTCTACTGCGTTTGATTGCTCTCTTCATCTCTGCATTTTATCTTTTAGCACGCTTTTCTATACGGTACTAAAAGAAACTGAACAGTAACCAAATGTTTGTTTATCTGTGGCAAATCTGAGTCTAGTTAGAAATGTGTTATTCACTTATGTCCAAAAGCTCTAAGATCTTGCAACGGTCTTTGCTGCAGAGCGATGAAGTACGGTGTCATACACAGTTCAGTTCTCAGTGTCGGTGTTTTAAAATAATGTGAGTGGATCAAAGGCGCAGTAGGCAGTGCTCTCCACACTACAGACAGGATATTTCCCACACTAATGGCAAAAGTCTCCAAACAGAAAACTGTGCTTGCAATTTGTGGTCTCAATGCAATTTTTTTTTTTAAATCACAAACTCTGTTTCCCCCTCAGATGTCAGAGACTGAGTTGGAAAAGATAAAAGTAAGACCAGCAGAGCATTTTGAAAATGACAAAAATAACATTGCTTGGTTAAAGGAAGGTAAGCCTGCGTTTTGTTTCTACTGCTGTAAAAATGGTGCTTTTGCTGACAGTCAGAAGAGGGCTCAGGATGGGCCAGCATGTCCCTGGAGTTCCAATGAGACCAGCATGCTGACTTCCTGTTTTTTACCTACATGTGGCCAGAGCTGGAATCTGAGGATCTTCGTTATTGAAATTGTTCTGTAGTCTTTGGGTTACAGTAAGCAGATTCCACAACTTGAAAGACGTATCATGATACATGGTTTCTAGAGCAGTGGTTCTCAACCTGTGGACTACTACCCCCTTGAGGGTCACATTGCAGGTATCTTGCCTATCAGATATTTACATTAGGATTCATGAACAGGAGCAAAATTATAGTTACGAAGTAGCAACAAGAATAATTTTATGGCTTGGGGGGGTCACCACAACGAGGGGAACTGTTTTAAGGGGTCGCAGCATTAGGAAGGTTGGGAACCACCGCTCTGGAGGGGCAGGAGATGTATTTTCTTCAACTCCAAGAAGACAGTGTCATCTGAGGATGAAATAATCATCACAGAAAGCCAGGATGCCTACAAATAGAATCACCATTCACTGCAGTTAAAGAAGCCATCTTCCCCAAGGGAGGATGCTGCGACCACAGGCCCAGCATGCGTAAGAGCACTGCTTGAAATACACACATAAATCAATATGTCCTCCTTTGATGAGTACAAATTAGTGTCACTTCTGAAAATACGCCTAAGCTCATGCTATTTACTACAAGGCTTGTCTTTATAGCTCTTTGTTTTTATAGGCATCTTTATGCCCCTTAAAAGAGACCAATCTGATATTTTATCTAAATAAGCATATGTGTCTCTTTCATGACGCCGTTAAGCTGTTCTCCTATAAAGGAACAGTTTCAGTTTTATAAGGTCACGAGAGAGTCTAAGGAATATGATGAGAAGGCGATACAAGCCCCGGATAATACTGATGGGCATTAACCACACTGACGTGTTTATTGGCGTTTATTGGTGTTTATGCTGAATCATCCTCACCAATCTGTGGAGCAGTGATTATCAATAATTCACCAATGAGAAAACTGAGCCTTAGAGAGTCTACGGAGCTTGTCTACATTTGCAAGATCAGGAGGTGTGAGATCTGGGACTGGCTCCCAGGTTACGGAACTTGACGGAATAGGAGGTTAACCATCACCTGGCCAGGCTAGGGGAAAAGATGCTTCAGTCCCCTGCCAGCACAAAATCTATGTTCAAAAGGATGCTTTCCTACTGAGTTTAGATTAATGCCAACAAACAACTTTGCCTTTTACTCTTATTTTTAAACCCAGCCCACCTCCCTCCTCATTTGGAAAGCATTCATCTAAAAGAATAATTTCGTTTGCTCAACTGGCCAATGATCAATTAATAGTGAAGCCTCCTCTCCATTAGAGGCTTTAGTTCAGGGCCCTAGGAACAAGTCTTCTTCTTCTTCTTCTTCTTCTTCTTCTTCTTCTTCTTCTTCTTC